CGCATAGATACACACACCCTGTCACTGTAAACTGGCCTGTCAATCATCTTGTCACAGTTAACATCCTCCACATTTCATTTCATTTAACTTCCTACCGTAGCCTACTGGAGAGAAAAGAAGTAGCTCATTGATTTGCCAGTCGTGGGTCTTTCATGCGGAGAACTCAGCTCATATTTTATGCATAATGATGCATTTAAAAGTTAACAACCAAATGGATGTTTATAAAAGTTGTAGATGAAATATAACACGGATAACAATAAATAAATATTTTTTACCAGGTTAAATGTTGATTATTAGTAACTCAAACCCCTTTTTGTAAACCTCTCTACCTAACCATCGGACGTGCACATCCGCCACGTTTGTAGTTTTTCTAACACGTTTTATTCGTGTTTGTAGTTAGTGACCGAATCCTTCGCCAAAGCGCAATGGATTGTGGGCAATTTTAGCAATTAGAGTGTGCACGGATCCACACTTCAAAAATCGACCTGGAATAGTAGACCATCCGGGGACTTTTGGCATACTCTTTTCAACATACTATGCTTTGGGACACACTTATTCTAATCTCACATACTATTTAGGATGGATAGTATGAACATTGAGACGCAGGGTACATTTTCTGTCAGCGCTGATAGCCTAGTGGGCGTTGCGCTAAAGGGCGTCTCAAATTTGAATCCCGGCTCGAGGACCTTTCCCGATACCAACCCCCCTTTGCTTCCTGTCTACTCTAAACTGCCCTATCTTAATAAATCAAAAATAAATCTTAAAAAAAAAGTATTTGTTTTCCACCAGGAGGCACATTTAAAGTGAATCACTGCACAGCTGAAGAGTTGAGAAATAATAAGACTTTAAAATATCATAAGTGTTTAAAAAATGTAGGAAGGGAAGGACTAAGGACTAAGTAATCGATTATCAAGAATACCACTATAATGTTGTTTACAAGATAGCATCACTAGCTAGCTAACGTTAGCCTAAACAGTTACGATAGTGTTTAATGTCAGCATTTAAATATACAAAAACTTGTCTAGGTACTCTCCTGGGATTATATTACATTTATTTAATCAAATATACAATTAAAAAGCAATATTGTAAAATTCTGTATTAATATATTTTAAAATTGTTTTTGTGCATCATTACTTCAGTCTTTAGTGTCACATGATTGGAATCTACAATATGGAATATAATTAAATTATATATAATTTCTTCTTTTTTTTCAGGATGCTGTTGTGAACAGAAAGTTTGAAGAACATTATGTTTTTTTTAAATAAAAATCTTTAAGTATTTCTTTCATTTTCTCAATCAGGGGGCTGTATTTCAATTTCTTTAAAATCACAGTGATAACTACATTTTGAACAGTAGTGTATATTTCAATTAAACATACAAACAATATGTGGTCTATAATTCATCTCAATTATGTTTTTGCCAAATATATAGTAAATTTGTTTTAATAATCTCTACAGTCTTAATATCCTACACAGTAGTTATTTTGTGAATGTTTAACAAGTTTTAGTTATATTTACTGGAGAACAAGTCATTGTCAGTATATATTTATTCCTCTGGCTGTAATGACATTCATCACACTTAAAAAAAAATTGGTATAAACCACTTTAAAAATATTTAAAATATATTTGGTATTTAAACATATTCTTGTCTAGTAATTCTGATAATGTACTTACCTTGACAATGCCCTGTATTTTTCCGTGATTGCGGGCGATGACTGTTTGTCTTGATAAATAATGAATGAAAAAGAATATTGAATGGAAAATTAAAAAAGAATACCAGAATATTGGTTAAAATCACAATTTAAAAAAAAAATGGACATTGTATTTTGTGCTACTACTGCTAATGAAAAATAATTACATTAATTTTTTTGATGAATTTTTATTTTTTTTTAGCTTTACTATATAAGATGTCATTCAGACTTTCAGATGTGGACATTTGTAATATTTCCATCAATGCAGAATCAGCTCTATTTTTGAGGAGACTGTTTTACTGACTTTTGTTTTTAGTCCTATGCCAGACAGAGCTCCACTGCGAGCTCTATCTGTGACTGGCGGTCTCTGTCCTCCTGTCCTGGGGCCCGGGCTGTCATTACTCAAGCTCTGGTTTGTTCTCCTCCTCCTGAGCTCCACGGTCAGTCAGAGTCTGTAGCTCTTGGTCTTTTGCCAATGAAGTCTGGTTGTCTGGCAGCTCTGCGATTGGGTATTCTGTTGACACGACAGTTCACACACGCTTTTTTTTATTATAGATTTGACACCTTTTTTTTTTCTTTCTGTTTTTTTTTTTTTTTCATTTTACCATTTAAACCATTTATGACATGACATTTATAGTAAGAAAAAAAGAGAAATTTGATAAGGTTATTAACATTTGCACTCATTTGTTGGCATTACAAGGGTATCAAATGATAAATCCTACTGCTGAGAAAGTGGTTGTTTAATGATTAAAAAAATACTGAAGCCCAAGGTTATGTCTGCAACAACTGTAAGACATTTTCTCTTAAGAGAAAAGGTCAACTTAGATGGCTCAGAAGGTTAAACAATTCTAAGAAAATATTTCCTTTTTAACATCAAGGCTTTGCTAAACTACTTGCAAGAGTAATTTAATACTTTTTTTTATCCTAAAATCCCTAATTCAACAAGCACTGGCAAGCATGCCAGCCAAAACAAAGATAAGTGTCACCCATATTGAATGTTATTAAAAACTTAAATTCAAATAAGAAAAATTAAGATTCTGAGTATCTAAGGTGAAGTGAAGTCAAAAAAGACTTACTGTTATCTGTTATTTTGGTTTCCTCTTGAATCTGCTCATCATCTGTAGCTGCAAAAAGCCTCTGCATTGGATTTTATAGTCGAAACTGCTGCTCCTCCCCATAAAGTGGAGGGGGGGAAAAAAGACTTTGACAGTTTTACTTTCTTTTTTTATTCCAGTAAGGCTGTACTGTAAGGCTGTAAGGCTTTTATAAGAAGCTGCTTAAGCATCAGCAGACCACTAAAGAAAATCAACGTCACACCTATTGGAATATTCTAACCAGACGAGATTAAATTTTACTGTGCAAATGATGATTAATTGAATAAATCTATAGATAGATCTACAAAAATGCAACTAGGTGCAGTTCGAAGTATACTGTAGAAGGAATCAATCTCTTTGCAAAATGAATTGAGTCAATGAATTGTGACCTTAGTTGCAATCCCCACTTTGACATCATTCATTCGCATGACATCATTCATTAACATGTGTTTTTTATTAATAATTCAGGTTTTATCAAATAAATAATGGAACTGTGGTTTTGAATAGGTTCCCGGATAGTAGTTCCCAACTATGTCCATGATATTATCATCTGTAAGATTGATTGCTCTCAAACTTTTAATAATCTTGTGTGAAAGTATAGTACATTGCCTTTTAATATCACTTGGCAAGTAATGCCAATAAACCAGTGCAACTAGATTCAGCAAGAAGAGGGTTTCTCAACACCTGTCCTGCATTTCTCAGACTATTTAAGCACTGAGCATGCTAGGCTCAGTGCGAAGTCTTTTCTGGCCTTGGCCTAGAATTCTGAGTGGTCGCTTCCTACTGGCTTGCCTGGTTTTGACTCTGTTTGGACTATTGTTTTCTTGGCCCTTGCTGCCTGACACCTGTACTGCATTTCTCAGACTATTTAAGAACTGAGCATGCTACGCTCAGTGCGAAGTCTTGTCTGGCCTTGGCCTAGAATTAGGAGTGGTCTCTTCCTACTGGCGTGCCTGGTTTTGACTCTGTTAGTCTGTTGGACTATTGTTATCTTGACCCTTGCTGCCTGCCTTTTAATTGCTGCCGGGTTTGCTTGAACTATTTATTTTGTCTGTCTGCTGCCTGCCCCGATCTCCTGACTGTGATTGTTTATATTTAAAAAGTTTTTATATTTTATATACTATATATACTGTATAATTGTTATTATTATTAAAATTATTATATTATTGTTGCTTTTGTTAAAATAATCACAAGATGAATATTCAGATTTTTCCCCATGTAGTCTGGATTATTTAAACAATTATGAAAATGTTTGCATTTAGATACAGAAGATCTTTGCCTGTTGAATATTAAAAACAAATGAACAAACAAAATATCTGGATCTCCATGTCTGCCATGCAAATCAACTGTTCCTGCTCATCTCCAGACTGGATCTCTTCTCTCCACTTTCCCTAATTGCAGATTCAATTATTAGATCTATCAGCATTATTATTTTAATACTTGGATTTTTTTGGGGGGATCAAATTGTAACACCGTGTGTCCCAACCAGACGCGACATGATAAAAAGTATCTTTTCCATGTAGTTTTTGTCCTAACCACCCGCAACAGCGACACGTGACAATAAGCGACAGGGGATTCTATTTTAGAAATGGTTTGTATTTTCTGCGACGTCGCGGCAGGGACGATATACAAAATATGACTTGTATGAATCTCAGGTAGCCGAATGATTATGTGCTTTATTTAATGTTAAAAGTGTCTAATGCGAGTTTGAATGTTATTTTGCGTGATCGTTATAATCTTTATAGAAGCAACAATATATATTTGACCTCAGATCTTGAAAATAAATTAAAGTAAACTTGTACGTTTTGTACGTTAACTCACTGCGAACCAACACGTGTATTTCACAACAAAGATGGTATCAGTCAGACTTCCGGTTATGTGGCGTGCAGAGTAGTCGCACGTTCAGCCTGCTCCTGCAGTTTCAATTATACTCTACTTATTAAACATCTCTATTTTCATTTATAGTGTGTACAATAGCTTTTAAAACTAGTTGCAACTATTCGGATCGCTCTGTCATGTCCAAGGCTAAAGGAAAGCACGCAGAAAAAGATAAGGAGCTTTCGCCAACGGCTAGCATAACTATGGCTGACATTAGCTCACTTCTGGATGAAAACAGAGCAGCCCTTTTGGCTGATTTTAAGTCGTCATTTGAGTCCCTTGCTTCAACGCTGGATAGCATCCATTCCACCGTTACCGATCACGGACAGCGCATTGACTCTCTAGAAACTAACGCCAATTTAGCTGATCAACGGCTTCAACATCTCGAGGACGCCTATTCCACTTTGCAGAAAGACAACAAGTCGCTCAAACTGAAAGTAGCGGATTTGGAGGGACACAGCAGGCGCCAAAATGTCCAGATCATTGGCTTACCTGAATCGATTGAGGGTCCCCGTCCAACAGTGTTTTTTTCCCAATTATTGGTTGACATTTTTGGTACGGAGGTTCTTGCTTCGCCCCCTGAGTTGGATCGAGCGCATCGCAGTCTCGCATCTAAGCCGGCCCCGGGTGAAAAGCCGCGGTCAGTCATCTTGCGCTTTCATCGGTTCCAGGTCAAAGACTTGGTAATTCGCGAGGCTCGTAAACGTGGATCTCTGCTTTACAAAGGCCATACGATTCGCCTGTTTGACGACTACAGCCCTGA